ATCTAAGTAGAATCTAGCTATAAGCTAGCTAACCCCTGCTAGAACTCTTTTTAGTATAATAATAATCTAATATAATTATTATTATAAATTATATTATTATATATTAAAGTTATATAGATTATTCTTACTTTTTCTAACTAATTATTAATAGATTATTAAAATCTTATAATAATTTTAATAATTTAGAATAATAGATTATTACTAAGTATTAATAATTCTCTAGTATATATATATATTTATTTTACTAAATAGAATACTTTTTTTAAATAATTATTAATATAATTATCTATATCTCTATTATTACTAGTTTTATAATACTTATATATTAATAATAACTTATATTATAGCTTATAATAATCTAATTATATTATTTAGAATTATTATATAGTATAACTAAGTATATATAAATAGATATTAAATTAATATTAAATCTATATTATTTCTAATAAAAATTTTCTATAATAGTAAATATATATTATTTTTATAGAGATAAATTAATTTATAATTTTAAAAGTAATTAACTTTTTTATTTCTAAATATATATAATTCTAAATTAAATTAAAATAAACTCTAATATACTAATATTAAGCTTAATCTAATTTAATTAATATTCTAATCTAAATATAATTAAAAATAATATAAAGCTTAAATAATTAATTTTTAAAAGCTATTTTTACTCTTATTAACTTAATATAGTATATAATATATTAAAACTATAAGTTATATATTAAATTATAATAGATCTATATAAAAAAATAGTTATTCTTAAGATATAGTATTTACTTAAGTTAATCTTAATTCTCTATAAGTATTTATAATAGCTACTAATAGTAGGTTATATAGTAAAATAATAATCTAAGTAGATATAGCTATTAGATTTATACTATTAAAAGTAGCTTTATTATTATAAATAAGCTTTTAACTAATTAAAGAGATATATAATAAATATAATTAGTAAATAAATATATTAAATTATCTTAGATAATAGTTATTATTATTTTAAGAATTTTATTAATAATATTAAATAAACTCTAAGAGATTAGAATATTTATATTAAATATTATAGCTATTTAAAATATCTAGTAATTAATTAATTAAGATAAGAAAAGATAGTTATTATTATTAGATAATAAGTTTTCCTTCTTAGAGACTATAGCTATAGCTAGACTATTTATATATCTCGCTATATAAATAGCTCCTATTATTAGAGTTTTTAAGATATTAATATCTATATTTAGACTAAAAGTATTTAATTTTAATTTTATCTTATAATATTAAAGATTTAGATATAAACTACTAATTATATTTTTAAAAAATATATATTAAATTATATATTATCTAATCTTAGAATATATTTTTATTTATAGTAAAACTAATAAAAAAAATATTATTTAGAATAATACTTTAATTAGTTTATTTCTAATCTACTTTAAACTCTATTTAGTATAAGTTATCCAACTATTATAATTATTTATTAACTATATTTATTATATATCTCTTTAATTAATTAAAAATTTATTTATAATAATAAAACTACTTTTAATAATATAAATCTAATAATTATATCTATTTAGTTTATTATTTTATTATATAGTTTATTATTAATAATTATTAGAGATATTTATAGAAAATTAAAATTAATATAAATAAATATTATATTTTAAAAATAATTATTCTTTTATATAAGTTTATTATAGTTTAATATATAATTTATAGTTTTAATATATAATATACTATATTAAATTAATAAAAATAAAAATAAGTTTTAAAAATTAATTTTTTAAACTTTATATTATATTTAGTTATATTTAGATTAGAATATTAATTAGATTAAATTAGATTAAACTTAATATTAATATATTAGAGTTTATTTTAATTTAATTTAGAATTATATATATTTAGAAATAAAAAAGTTAATTACTTTTAAAATTATAAATTAATTTATTTCTATAAGTATAATATATATTTATTACTATAGAAAATTTTTATTAAAAATAATATAGATTTAATATTAATCTAATATCTATTTATATATAATATAATCTATAAGTAAGCTAATTATATAAGTAAGCTAATTACTTCTATCTATCTCTTATATAATAAAGTTAATTAAAATAATAATAGCTAATTATCTATAATAATAATATTAGAAATTAATTTATTAGACTTTTTTCTAATCTTCTTATAGGTTTAGATATTATAATCAGGCTTTCTATAATTACTATATTATAAAGTCTTTATATAAGCTTACTCTCCCTAACTATTATTTCTATAATTTTCCTCTTTTAGCTATTTATCTATATTCTTCTAGTCTAATAGATCTATTCTATTCTATATAGTTAGGAACCCTCTAAACTATATATAGCTTTTTTTAGCTTTTTAATACTTACTTAGTATCTTATTTATTATATAAAAATTATAAATCTTAATATATAAAAAAGCTATCTAGTATATTATTATAATTACTCTCTTTATAAATTAATCTACTATAGCTAGTATAGAGATTAAAAAGCTATTTTAATAAGCTAAGATTTAAGATTTTATATATTTAAATTATATATTTATCTTATATATAGTTTATAGTATCTTTAGAATCTAAAACTACTTTATCTTAGATAGAATCTCTAGTAGTATTAGTATTTATAATACTATATCTAGCTTTAAAAGAACTCTCTCTAGATTATATAGTATTAAACTAGATCTAATAAAATCTATTTAGATATTCTTCTCTATAAAGAAATAAAAAAAAACTATATAAAAAATAGAGAGAAATTTAAGCTTACTAATATAAATAATATATATCTATATTAGACTCTTAATCTCTTATCTATATAACTACTTAAGTAGTTTAAAATAGTTAATATCTAGTAGCTAAAGAAAGTAGAAAGAGTAAGAAGATATATAGATTATAATAATCTTCTGCTCTTAATAGTAGATCTTAAAATTAGCTAAATAATAGCTTATATAGCTATTAAGGATTAGTATCTAATATACTTTCTTTATATAAGGAGCTATATAGAAGTTAAAGTACTTAATCTAATCCAGACTAACTTTATTAATAGTTTAGTTATTCTTAGTTATTATAAACTATTAATTATATAGTAGATTATATTTCTAATACTAGTTCTTAAGATAATATTAGATAGCTAGGATAATAAAAGAAAGAATAGCCTAGCTAGCTATATTTATTTCTTAGATTATAATTATTTACTTCTAGTTATTAAGCTGAACTAGCTTAGCTTTTATATAACCCTCTAAGATTATAATTACTATCCTAGGAAAGATAATACCTATTATAAAGCTAGTCTTATTAAAGTTATATAGATCTTTATCTAAGATACTATATTTTACCTTTAGATTATATATAAAACTAAACTAAAATATAATAATCTTTAGATCTTTATATTTAGCTCTCTAATAGTTATATTTCTAAACCTAGTATATATAGAGCTCTAGTTACTACTTAATAAAGTTAGAAGCCTAATTAATACTAATAGGAGATATATTATATATATATAGTAGAATATTAGCTATTTCCTTAATACTATATATTCTAAGAGGAAATATATATATAGATAGTTTAAATATATATAAAATAATAGCTTTTTCTTTAGATTTTAATAGATTTATTAATTTTAATTAAGTATTATATTTTACTATATAATTAGTATATTAGTTATAAAGAGTTATATATAGAACTTAATAGACTTTTACTATTACTCTAATACTTAATTTCAGGTTTTAATTAAGAGCTTAGATTATAAGAATAATATTTACTTTATATAAAGTTATATTTATTTTATAGTAGAAAATTATTTAATTATAAAGAGAAAGTTCTAATTTCTAAATAGAAGTAATTAGCTTATTTATATAATTAGCTTATTTATAGATTATATTATTTAGTTATATTATATAATAATATTTTTATATATAATAATATAAAAAATATTAATTATAATTAAATATAATAATATAAGTTATTATCTAGATATAATATTAAATATTAATATAAAATAATATTATCTTAATATTACTAGTTACTGCTTTAAATAGATATATAGAGTATTATCTTAATATTACTAGTTGCTGCCTCGAATAGGCAAGTGGGGCGTTATCTTGACATTGCAGTTGCTGCCTCGAATAGGCAAGTGGGGCGTTATCTTGACATTGCTAGTTGCTGCCTCGAATAGGCAAGTGGGGCTTCATTTTGCTTGCGGTGATCCAGTTGAGAACTTCAAACCCAATCGGCGTCATCGACCTCGTAAACCCGGGCTTGCGATGGATCCATTCCCAATGAACCATTATTAATCCGTAGTTCCACTGGCATTGCATTAGTAATCGGGCTGAGCAAACAAAGGCATGTACTGTCAACATCAACTTGTAGGCCAGGCCAGGATTTGGTTCAGGGATTGACATCAGAGACTTGTCGACATTACATGTCTACTGACATCGAAGCCCCACGGCCGGCGGCGCCTGAGAAGTGCTGGACGTGCCGCCGTCGCCGTCTCAAGTGCGATGGCACTATCCCTGCCTGCCGAAAATGCATCATCAACGGGTTGGAATGTCCAGGGTATGGCAAACACTTGAAATGGATGAGCGGTGTCGCAAGCAGAGGCTATATGAAGGATACCGCATATAAGTCCGATCCTGCTCCACCACGTCTGCGGAAAAAGCGACAAGGCGTGGTTGTCCTGGAATATGAGCCTTCACCGAAATGCCGGTCTTCAGGCAGCAGCTCGCCTTTATCGATAACATCGTCTCCGCCAACACAGCTCACTGACCCCATCTTCCAAGATATGGGTTACAATGCTAGGTATTTACTGACTTACTGTATGATCCCCGATGGTCTTTCCCTTATGACACTGGAACTGTTTGCTTACTGACACTAAGAAGATGACCGAAAAGTATGCACTGTTATGACCATCTGCGATGAAGCCAGAACACCTTATCGAGAGCTCATGCCTCTTGTCGGGTCATCTGAAGGTGTAGCTAATGCTATAATGGCTGTCGCAGCCCTTCATGCCATGCATGTCTCAGTTGGCTCGCCAATCATGCTGTCTCATGCTGTGCAAGCAAACAGCATTCATGTTAACGAGAAACAGCTAGATGTGTTCCAGTCACAACTACTGCATCATTGTATAACTCTTAAACAAAAAGCTCTCAAGTTTCTTTCAATAGCTCTACAAAACCCCCATCAGCACAACGAGCTGCAGACATTTGGTACTGCAGTTGTTCTCACTCTCTTAGAGTGCTTTGAAACAGGCGCAGGGTCATGGGCGATTCACCTGGATGGCGCGAAGAAGTTGCTTGACGCAGGAATCCAGAAGAGCTCTACTCTTGAAGCATTCGTCGAAGAATTAATACTGTGAGTAACCATACACTACCTTTGAGGCCAGGCTAACACTCAGCCAACAGATTCGAGATATTTGGTTCTACCTTTGTACCATCCAACGTTGTCTCCACGTCAATAACGACGCGAACATTCTCGGCAACCTCACCTGAAACCATTTTATTGTGCAATAGCTTCGTTTGCCCAGTAGAGCTACTGCAACAGATTACATTAGCAACAGCTAAGTCAAGAATCGCTCGACAGGCAATGTTAAATTTGTCCAACGCTGCTGAATGCACATCAGCAATCGAAGATTTGAAGGCTGATCTGATCAAAATCCAACAATTCCATAGCCTGACCTGGGTCGAAAAGGTCATATCAGTCACAGGATACTTGGCAAATGTATCGCGTCGAATTATCGCCCAGATGTGCCTCATTTGGAAAATATCAGCAGCGATATATGTATCCCGTCTACTATACACCCTCACTGGGGATGCTCAATACCTCTCACCTATTGTTGACGATTTGATCAACGCCTTCATACCTATACAAAACAAAGTTCAGCTCAAGTTCCTGTTATGGCCTGCTGTTATTGCTGGTATTTCTACCACGAGGCCTGACCATAGAGCGTGGACACTATCGACCCTGGACGAGATATGGCGCTTGACACACTGCGCGAACGCCAAGGGCGCAGCAATGGTTCTTAAGAAACTCTGGGAGATGAAAGATGCGAGAATACACGAAATTGGGGATGATCATGGACGAGACTGGGACTGGCTGTGTGATATGTCAACCCTTGATGGGTATTGGCTACTTTTCTGAACCGAGATATCTCAATAGCTAAAAAATAGTTATAGTAGTTATATCTAGTTATTCTCCGTGCCTGTCTTTCTAGCAACGTGGAGAGCAAAGCCGCTATCTCCTGGTTGTTCTATCCCTTCTCGCAATGTTAAACTTGGAATGAGGTAATCACCACCGTTCTGTTTGCGATACGGGATCGGCGCAGTAGACTCCAGACTTTCCATCCTCGCCCGCACCTTCGTTGCGAGAGCCTCATATTGCGCCTCGCTGAAGTGATCACACTCGTACACCACGATTGGCGGTAGCACATCGAAACCTGGATAATACAGGACGCCATGGTTGATTGGGAACAGAATGTCATCGATAGGCCCATGAATACCACGAGCGGAGTACTGTGATGCCGAACCCCCAACTGTAACGACTAACATTGCACGTTTTCCTGCAAATCGCCCCTCGCCGTACTGATCGCCTGCCCGGGTGTCGCTGTGCTCTCCTGTTCCGTATGCAAAGCCGTATGAGTATACGCGATCGACCCAACCTTTTAGGATTGCGGGGGTATTAGATCTAAAGGAGAAATATATAGTAATTTATATAATTATTCCCTTTAGAAGTATTAAAATTATATTTTTTTTTTTAAGTTTTTTACTATATATTAAAAAAATTCTAAGATAAGATTATATATAACTAGATCTATATAGTTTATTTTTAATTAAATTTTAATTTATATCTAATCTTTAATTTTATTTTTTTTACTTTTTTATTTATATAAACTAAAGTAAAATAATAGTATTTTTAAAAACTCTAAAAAGAGTTTATTAAATATATAATTTAGCTATAGATTCTAAAAGAGAATATTTATTATTTATAATTAATTATAATATCTCTCTAAACTTATTATTATTAATTATTAATAATTAAATCTCTTCTTATAATTATAATAATAAATATCTTTAATATTATTATTCTCTATAACTAGAGTCTGATTATTATATATAACTATATTAATTATATAATAATAATAATTAGTAAGAACTTTTATACTCTTATTAATAATATAAAATAATTAAGCTTATACTTTATTATTAAATTCCTTATAATTATAAAGCTATTCTTAATTATATAGATCTAGTAATTATAACTATTATATTTAATATTATATTATAAAGTTTATAAAAAATAAATAATAGATTTTATTCTATATAAAATATTTAAAAAGAAAAAGCTAAATAATAATCTCTAAATATTTAATAATTATAATAATTTAAAATATAGTTTCTAGTTCTAATATATTATATATTATATAGAATTAATCTAGATAGAGATAGCTTTTAAAATTTAATATTAATAAAATTATTTATATTTAAATAGATAGAAGAGAATTAAATTAAATTAAATTATTAAAAAGTTTATTAAATAAAAAAGTTAAATTAAATAAAATTAATAAAATAGTATTTAGAATATAGTAGATTAATTAATCTAATATTATTATAAATTATTTAAAGAAAATTATAATAGCTAATTATAAAGTTATTATATACTAATAAAAACTAAATATAGTTTATATAATAAAAAATAAACTATATTATTTATATTTTAAATAACTTTTTTAGAGTTTTTAGAGAAGTTATTACTTTATCTTAGTTTATATAAATAAAAAAGTAAAAAAAAATAGAATTAAAAATTAGATATAGATTAAAACTTAGTTAAAAATAAGTTATATAGAGCTAGTTATATATAGCCTAATCTTAGAATATCTTTTATATATAGTAAAAACTACTAAAAAAAATAATATTTTAAATAAATAATATACTATCTAATAATAGATATTAATTTAGTATTACTTTTAAAATTATAAAAATAAAATTATTAATAGTTTTAAAAAAACTATAAAAATTAAATTAAATATAATAATAAAATAATATTTTATAAATTAAAATATTATTATAATTAATATATTATTAAATATAATCTAGAAATATTATTATAAGCTATATTTATTTTATTTTAATTTTAATTTATAATTTAAAAAAAGAAATTAAATAGAGAAAATATAATCTATTAGTATTAATATCTAGAATATCTAGAGTTATTAAATATTTAGTAATTTTAATAAATAGAGTATAAATAATTAGTTTAATAATAGCTAAATATAATATATATAGTTTAATAAAAATAAAATACTAAAAGAATTATAAACTATAAAAAAAATTTAAAACTAGAAAAATATTTATTAATTAACTTTTATAATTTTTAAAAAGAGATTAGAAATTATAATTTATATATAATTATAATAGATAGAAATTCTAACTTTATCTAGAATTATTATTTTAAAAATTAAAAAAATTAAAATATTTTTTAAATATTAATATACTTTATCTAGATATTTAATACTAGATATAAAATTATTATTAAATATTTAGAAATAGATAATAAGTTTTAAAAAAGCTCTTTTATTTATATTTTTCTATATAATAAAGTAAGTAAAGTAAAAGAGTATATTTCTTATACTTAATAATAAAATAGCTTAAGTAAATAATCTAAGAGAATAATAAAAGAGAAAGTAAAATTATTAGTAATTAATAGTAATTTATCTAAATAGCTATAGTCTAAATTAATAAGAATAATTATATATTTATTAAATTAAACTCTAAAGATAAAATTTAGCTAGAAAATACTATATTAGAGTTTCTTTTTAATAATACTAATTATAAATTAAAAAACTAAAACTTAATTTAGAATTTTCTATTTAAAAATAATTAATTATAAAGTATTTATAATAAATAAAATAGTTTAATTAAAAAAATAATAACTTAAATTATAATTAGATTTAAAGATCTAGATAAATTATCTAATTAGATATAACTTTTAAAATATCTTTTAAATTTAAAATTTAATTATTAATTATATTTATATTACTAAAGATATTATTTTTAATAAAAAAAAGTTATTTAATTTAAATAAAATTTAAATATTTTTTTAATTAGTTTTATTATAAATAAGAATATATTCTAAGATTAGATAATATATAATTTAATATATATTTTTTAAAAATATAATTAATAGTTTATATTTAAATCTTTAATATTATAAAATAAAGTTAAAATTAAATACTTTTAGTTTAGATATAAATATTAATATCTTAAAACTCTAATAATAGAAGCTATTTATATAACTAGATATATAAATAGCTTAGCTATAGCTATAGCTTCTAAGAGAAGAAGTTTATTATTTAATAATAATAATTATTTTTTCTTTCTAACTTAAAGCTTATTTTAATTTAGATTAATTAATTATATTTTATTATTAATTAATTACTTAATTAATTAATTACTAGATAATTTAAATAATTATTATATTTAATATAAATATTCTAATCTTTTAAAGCTTAATTAATATTTCTAATAAAATTCTTAAAATAATAATAATTATTATTTAAAATAATCTAATATTACTATTTATTAATTATATTTATAATATACTTTTATAATTAGTTAAAAATTTATTTATAAACTATTATTAACTATATAAATCTAATAACTATATCTATTTATTATAAATAAAAGCCTCTATAATAGATTATATAGTTATATATACTCTACTATCTAAAGAATAGAAGTAATAGAAGTATTATACTCCTATTATAGAATAAGAATAGATTACTAGAAGTAATATACTTCTTATACTCTATAAATATTATATATATATATTTATTTTATTAGTTAAAAATACTCTTTTAAATAGTTATTAATATAATTATCTATATATCTATTATTACTAGCTCTATAATACTTATATATTAATAGTAATTTATATTATATAGTTTAAGATAATCTAATTATATTATTTAGAATAATATTTTAATTAGTTTAATTTTAATTTATTCTAAACTCTATTTAATATAAATTATCTAATTATTATATATTAATAACTCTTATTTAGCTAATTATCTTATCTTAATTACTATATAATATTAAAAGATAAAATAGCTTCTATTAAACTATTAAATAATACTCTATAAGCTTTAATAGTTTAAGAGATTATATAATAGCTTATAGTTTAAATTAAATAACTTAAGAAGAAGAAAATAAAAGATAAAGAGAAAATAATATAATTAATCTCTTTAGAACTCTTTTTAAATAATATTAATAAACTAGAAGAATTTAAAATCTAATTTTAAATATATTTTAAATTCTTTCTAATTAAGTTTATAATAAATAAAGATAAAGTTAGATTTATAGAAATATATTTTAATAATACTATAGAATAATAGTTCTAATTCTATCTTAGAAACTAATATAATAATAAAATTATACTAAACTTATAAAAATAGAAAATTATTAATATTCTTACTAGCTATAAGAACTTTTAGATTATATTTATTTTAATATTTAGTTAAATAGATAAAAAATAATAAGCTATTAAAAATCTTAAGAATTTATACTAGATAGAACTAATATTAAAATATACTACTAAGTTTAGAAAAATCTTAATCTAACTAGATTAGAATAATAGTTCTTTTAAAGCTATATTCTATAATAAATTTAAAAAAGAAATTAAGAATTAATTTTTTAAAATAAATAAATCTAAAGATCTATTTAAATATATAGTAAATACTATATAGATTAATAACTATCTATATAAAAAATAATAATAAAAGAGAAATAAGTATATTAATTAGAATTATATTAAAAATAAATCTAATTAGAAAATATAATAAATTCTATTATTATTTATAAAATCTAAAATATATATAGGATTTATAGAGCTAGAAACTATAGAGAAATATAAATATTATAATTATAATAAGATTAAATATATTTTATTTTAATATTTAAAGCTTAAAAAGTAGAAAAATTAGAAATTTACTAAAGAAGATAAGAAATAATTAGAAGTAATTAGAAAAACTAAAATTAAAATACTTAGAGTAATCTAAAAGATTATTTAGAAAGAAAATTATATAATTACTATAGTTTCTATATTTTCTAGAAAATCTATATTAAACTTCTATAAAATACTAGAAA